TTATGTATATATATGTATTATGCATTTCATGTCAGTATCCCCCAGAGGCACTCAGATGTTACAGGTTGTATCTCCTCTATCTCTCTTTACGTTACTGACATGAAATGCATAATACTGCCTTACATACTCGGTACTTTATTCGTACTGACNCGGCACGGTAGAGTAAAGTAGATACATATATAATGCATGCTGGACTCATGGAGTCACGTTCTAAACCTTTTGGAGTGACATAAGGTCATTGCACCATCGATTAACATTATGGACATCATACCATCAATATGAACTTCACTAGGACTCAAGGATCATATATACTTTCTTGGAATAACTTTGTAAGGAAAGAATAACATGGACAACCTTAGTTGCTAGGAGTAGATTCATTATGAAATAGCGTATCTTTTATGTTCGTTTCACTTTAGATCATGCCAAAAGAATGAAGGAAGAGCCTTAACATACCTTAAACATGTTGAGTCCTTAATACCTTCTAAGCAACTCTTCAAACAAGTCAACTCGATCTATCATAGCATAAGGAGATTCAAAATCAGTGTTGAGCAAAGGCTAAGTCTGTAACTTAAGCTAGTAGCTCGTCTACGTAAATTCGGGCAGCATCTCCCTTGTAACAAGGGCCTCCTCCAATACCATATACCAACAACAACAGCCAGGGAAGTCCAGCAACCTTATACAGCGGCAACAACTTGGAATTTCATCCAAATACAGCCCACAACAATCCTCAATGACAACACAACCTCAAAGAGGTGTTGTTATTCACTAGAACTAAGTTTTGATGTTGAAATATGGTGTAATCACTTTGGAATCACTTCAAACCCTTGTGGAATCTGTTTAGAAGGGTTAGGAGAAGTTTGGAGACAAAGTTGAGTTGAAAATAAGTGAAAAATAGGCGTCCAAATCGTTTATAAATTGAAGTAGGTCAACCACCGCCTAAGCGGGTCCCATTGGGAGCTGCTTGCGCGGTCTCGCGAGAACACGAATATCTCTCTACTCCGATGTCGTATTGACGAGCGGTTTAATGCGTTGGAAATTAGACTCGTAGATCTTCAATTTGATATGTAGATCATCCATTGATTCCAAGTATATTGGGAGAAAAGTGCATCTACATTTGACCTAAATTTCAGCACATTATGAATGCAACTTGTGATGACCTTTGCTAACTTTTGTTCCATAACTCGTTTGACTTAAAAACATAACACACGACTATCATACAACTACAATAACTCATAAATTAACCTCCTCATCATGTTAATCACCCTAGTCTCACCCCAAAATAATATGTTATAACATTCCAAACTTGTCGATTTTTGACGAAACTTATTTTCTTCAATTCGTTTAGCGACTAAGCTTTCCAACCCTTTTGGTTCTTGTTATTCATGATCTTAAATATTTGTAACCTCCAAGGTAACATGATTAACTTACTTTATTTGCTTCCAAATATAATCTCATTTTCGAGCTTACATCAATGACTTACGACGTACTCTCACGTATGAAAACTTGGGGTGTAACAAGCAACTAGAATGCACTCAAGCTAATATGGTGCATGATCCTTTCAACCAATTGCTGATAGAACAGGAAAAGCATGCCATGCATGAATTGGAGAAATGGAGTTTAATAGAGGAGAGAATATTGAGGCAGAAGTCAAGAGTGACATGGATTGACTATGGTGACTCAAATTCGAAGTACTTCTTTGCACAGTTGAAGATTAGAGCAAGCAAGAATAATATAACTGTTGTGTATAATGAGTCAGGAATGAAGGTTACTGATCCAACTGCTGTGGAACAAGAATTCACAAACTTCTTCACTCAACTAATGGGGAAGGCTACGGGGCTAAAACCATGCCCAAATACAAGTTATATTAAAGCAGGAGATTGCTTGAACTTACAGCAACAGCAGGAACTGATAAAGGAGATCACACATGAGGAAGTGGATGAAGCTGTGAGAGATATGCCAAATGACAAAGCTCCTGGGGTTGATGGCTACCCTATAGAGCTCTTTACAAAGCACTGGATGATAGTGAGGCAAGACATATATGAAGCTGTATCCTTGTTCTTCCAAAATGGTAAAATGAAACCAGCATGGAATTGTACAGCTATCACTCTGATTCCTAAAGTCCCAGCACCAACAACAGTTAAAGACTACAGGCCTATTGCTTACTGCACTACCTTGTACAAAATTATTGCAAAGATCCTGACAAAAAGACTTAAAAAAGTTATTGAGGTGATCATTGGCAAGTCACAGTCTGCCTTTATAGAAGGAAGGAGCATTATAGATAACATCTTGTTTAGCCATGAACTTTTTAAAGGCTATACCAGGAAAGGTCTTTCCCCTAGGTGTGTCCTTAAGGTGGATTTAAGAAAGGCTTATGACTCATTGGACTGGCATTTCTTAGATACATGTTCACTGACTTGGGATTTCCACAGAAATTCATCCACTGGGTAATGGAGTGTGTGTCAACTGTGCCCTACTCTTTAATGCTTAATGGTGGCCTTACAAAGCCATTCAAAGCCTAGAGAGGAATCAGGCAAGGTGATCCAATGTCACCTTACCTATTTGTCATAGCAATGGAATACTTCCAAAGGGAGATGAACCAACTAGCCACCTTAAAGCAGTTTAAATATCACCCAAGATGCAAAAAACTAGGGGTGACACATATTTGCTTTGCTGATGATTTGCTCATGTTCTGTAGGGCAGATATAAATTCAGTAAAAATAATGCAGGAAGCATTCTACAGGTTTTCTGCTGCATCTGGATTGCAGGCAAATACAGACAAAAGCTCAATGTATATAGCTAGTGTTCCACAGCATATCAAGGAGCTGCTACTTGAGAGTACATGATTCAATGAAGGGTCTATTCCATTTAAATACCTGGGGGTGCCACTGTCTGTTAAGAAGTTGAATATACACCAATGTTTGCCACTGGTGGAGAAGATCACTGAAAGAGTTAACTGCTGGTCTTCCAGGATTCTATCCTACTCTGGAAGATTGCAGCTTATCAAATCTGTACTATTTGGCATTCAAACATATTGGGCACAAATTTTCTTATTGCCTAAGAAGATTATAAAGATGATTGAGACTATTTGCAGAACTTTTCTTTGGACTGGATCAAATACCACTTCAAGAAAAGCATTGATAGCTTGGGACAAGATTTGTCAACCAAAAACTGCAGGAGGGCTGAACATCAACAATATGAGGGTATGGAATAAAGCTGCAATTATCAAACAACTATGGGCTTTGGCAATGAAGAAGGATGCCTTATGGATTAAATGGAAACACAGCTACTATATCAAGAACAAAGACGTTGCAGAAATGAACACACCTAGGATAGCCGCTTAGGTGATTAGGAAAATCATAGAGGCAAAGAAAGAAGTGATACAGATGAACTCAATGCATGGGAGTGTCATATCAACTTTGGCAGACTTGGTGAAACAGGGCAGGTTCCAAATTCAAAAGGCCTATGTCCAGTTAATGCCTCAGCATCCCAAAGTTAGCTGGAAAAGCATTCATCTACACACACAGATTCATCTACGGTTCAAATTTTACATATGGCTGGCCATTCATCAGAGAATAGCAACTGTGGACACACTTCTCAAGTTTGGGATTCAAGTACCACCTGATTGTGTATTCTGTGCAGGTACTATGGAAACATTGGACCATTTGTACTTTGAATGCCCACACACTAGATTATTATGGGATAGAATACTGAAATGGCCGGGAACTACAAGAATAATTGAAAGTTGGCAGGATGAGATAGCATGGATCAACAGTATAGCCAAAGGGAAGAATGGAAAAGCAGAAATCACTACAGCAGCATTTGCTATGGTAGTATACTGTATTTGGCGAGAAAGAAACTCCATCAGATTTCAAAAGCGTCGCTACATGGTGGATGAGACATGCAAGGAGATAGCTCTACATATGCACATACAGGGGAGATCAAAGATCAAATGGCAACAAGCTTTACAAAATGTAAATAGTTATCCTTAGGCATAAATTGTTGATTTTTACTTTCTGTTCTTTAGTAAAATCCCTGTAATAGTATTAGAATTAGGAGATTGATGGTCAGCACCAATCTGGTTTTGCAAAGACAATTTTTTTCTGAAATGAAATGCTAGTTTTATCGGTAAAAAAAAATGTGACAGAAAACATAATTGGGCCCCACTCGCTTTATCTTCACACTTCACTCTCTCTTTTTCTTTTTTCTTTTTTTATTTTTTTTTTCATTTTTTCGTTTGCCCTCAGCTATCATTGGTCCGCCAAATGACTCTTTTACCCTTTAATAAATGCAACATGTAGCACATAGGATGCATCAAGATGGTCTGTTATTTTGGGTACACCTGTCCTAGACGGACCCAACCCCTGTGTTGAGTCCCCTAAGTCAAATGCATGTGATGCAACAAATGCTCCTACTAGGGATCCGGCATGGGGCTGAGTTATTCTAGGTTTAACACCTGTGTTTATTTGTTCTAGACCTGGCTTACCCGAGCGCACAGCTCGAGCCGGGGGGAGGGGGAGGCAGCGTACCGGGAATACAGAAGCTTAACCGGCTTTGCAACTTGTCCGAACCTCGTTCTAAAATGGGATAAGACTCTGGACAGAAGAGAAGTCACACGAAGTGCACCTTTCTCCATGATTTAGAAGACTCAGAGAGAGGAAGGGTTTCGTAGCAGTTTATATACAGTTCACAGAATATCAAAGCGGTAAAAGCAACACTTAGCACATTAGGCCCAAACATGTAACAAAATAAGATAAAGCCAACTATAAAAATTCATCTAAGCTCGAATTCATGAACCCTGAACCAGAGATTCTGGGTTCTTATCCCCAGCAGAGTCGCCAGAGCTATCACACCTCCTTTTTCCTACACCCCCGAAAAGGGGTATAAGGGAGTTTTTTCAATTAATGGACAATCGAAACGGGATTATTTTTATGAAATTCAGAGTCCCCACTTGGGATTATTTATGGTGTCCCAAGTCACCGGTTAAATCCTGAATCGAGGAAAGATTGACTCTGTTTTACAGTCCGCGAACACAGAAATCCGGGTAAGGAATTCTGTTAACCCGGGAGAAGGTGTTAGGCATTCCCGAGTTCCGTGGTTCTAGCACGGTCGCTCAACTGTTATAATTGACCTATTATCTGATTTTAAAATACTTTTAAACCTACGTGCATTTTTACTTTAAACCGCTTTTGATTATTTTAAGGAAGATTTCAACGTCGTGTAAAACATGTCTTAGGACCGCGCCACATGAAACGCACCCGCAATCCGAGACACATTTTATTCAACATTGTTGAGATTTGGATTTGGGTCACATGAAATGCACACCCGAGTTTAGGGAAGTTAATTTATTAAAATAACGCGCCTAAAGCAACTACGCGTTTTTATCTTTGCGAAGGCCACGGAAAATTTGCTAAATGGCACGCCTCGAATTCTAAGGATTTTTAAAGAAATAATTTAAATGAGGGCCATACATTTTTAGATTTTGTTTGGCATGGCATGCCTCAATTCAAATTTTAAGGAGAATTCAAGCTACATTTGGAGGGCCATAAACTATTTGTGTCATTTTATATGGCTCACCCCCAGCAATTAAAGTGGATCACATTTAAATAATAAAAAAAACTAAGAAGTTCAGATTTAAATCAAATTAGATTCTGCATACATAGTTATGAGCAGCCTATGCAATTACTATATCGCCCAAAATTTTGAAAAGGAATTGCTCCCGAACTCAGGCAACATTAGCCAGGCAATTAAGGGAATTGGGCTCGAGGTAAATCCCAAAACGAGACTGGATCAGCTAAGAGGCTTCATACGTCACTGGACCAATGAGAAAGGCCCAACTGCGGGATTCATGGCCATTACTTGAAACAAATTACGTTCTTCATGAAAAACCTTAAGGCTAAACAAGTACTGACCACTTTTGCCAATCTTAAACGGATATGAAATGTATTTTTAATACCAAATCACATTATATAACAGAGATGCCATACATGATGTTACAAAGCTTACCTACAGTTTGTTTCACCATTTAAAGTATAATAGCATTCATGACCTCTAACCAAAATATCGACGTGACTTCAAAATGAAATTACTAACATGGATTCAACATCAAAAATGTAAAAGGGAACGCGACATTGAACCCAGCCCATCCTCAACAGGATTTCGGAAGAATGCAATTGCTAACATAGACTTAACCTTGACCAATTCCAAACATGGGATCCAAGACAATTAATAGACTAATTCCATGAAACCTTTAACATTAAACATCACAGTTTTTTTTACTAGCATGCATACACCGATTTGCATATACTGATGTACTAAGAGTAGTCCAATCAATCCTCATGAACTGTATTCCTGTGCTCTCCAGGTGGGCGCCTAACTGCTGAACTTGAATTGTATTCCCGTGCTCTCCAGGTGGGCGCCTGATTGCTGAACTTGAATTGTATTCCTGTGCTCTCCAGGTGGGCGCCTGACTGCTGAACTTGAATTATATTCCCGTGCTCTTCAGGTGGGCGCCTGATTGCTGAACTTGAATTGTATTCCCGTGCTCTCCAGGTGGGTGCCTGATTGCTGAACATGAATTGTATTCCCGTGCTCTCCAGGTGGGCGCCTAACTGCTGAACTTGAACTGTATTCCCGTGCTTTCCAGGTGGGCGCCTGACTGCTGAACTTGAATTGTATTCCCGTGCTCTCCAGGTGGGCTCCTGACTGCTGAACTTGAACTGTATTCCCGTGCTCTCCAGGTGGGCGCCTGATTTCAACAAAATAGACAAAACAAAGAAAATTTTCTGCCCCAGTTTGGTAGCTGGGCACATATGTGAGTGTAAAACTGAATCACGTTACTAGATATCAATAAGAATTTTAAAAGCTAAACCCCAATGACAGTTTTAAAGCTAAAAATATATCTTCTAAAGGTATGACTTCCGCTAAATCTTGTTATCTAATGAAAATCATTAAAGCTAGGTCTCATTATTCAGGATGGTCCTAAAACTCCTGCTTGAATCCTATCTCAAACATGCAAACTTTGGAACCAACTTATATTCCTTTGGGGTACATTTATACTATATTTTGCTACTCATGATTGTTTTGAATTTTAGACTAGGTCCCATTTCCAAGAGGGTCCTGAGAATTTACGGTCAAACCTGTATGGTGCCTGCTTTTCCTTACGGAGGTTTTCTCCGAAACAAATGAAATTTTATGCCCCTGTTTCAATCAAAGAAAAATTTTGTCAGTTTAAAAATATGGTGGTTGGTTTGTGGCCTTGACTTTGAGGGCGATTGCTCCTTCATTTCCCATGATCGCTTTGATTTCCATTCGAAGACCTTGCTTGTTTATTGACTAACCACTTTCTCTGTCATCAGTATGACTGAAAATACCTTTTCTCTGTTCAGACCCAATACCCTCTATATGTTGCATTGCTCATAAACCGACATTTACCAAACCTTTGTGTTTCTCATGCACTCCAAAGCATATTAACTGTTACCAACTCAGTGCGCATGTTGTTCTTTCCTGATTTAAATCACTGGCCTTGGCCTTGAGGTCTATTGCTCCATCGCTTGCCATGATAACATTGATTTCTGCTTGGAAGATCTTGCTTGTCACTAGTTTACCACCCTTTTTTGTCAATCTTATCACAGAAAATAACTTTGATCCGCTCACCCTAACCCTTCTTCTGTTGCATCGTCCATGAATTGATATATACCAAACCTTTGTATTTCACACGAATCCCAAAGCATGTTGATTGTTAAAGACTCAGTGCGCTTGCTGTTCTTTCCTGACTTATGCCACTTTGATGTGCTAGCCAGATCTCGTTTTGTGCAATTGGAAAGCTGGTGGCAAATTTGAAGTCACTTCTCACTTGTTCTGACCAAAGAGACTCAGGAAGAGGGAATAAACAAGACAAAAGGAACATAGTAAAGGAAAAAGGAAAGAAATTATTCCTAACAAGAAAACTACAAAGTAGAAACCTATCAGATGTGGATACCAACTCTATTGACCATGACATGCACTTGTGGCCTATTCTGTTAAGCAAGTCTGATGTCCAACTCTTGTTGTACCTTTTCGGCGTGAAACTGTCACGACCCCAGTTCGCCCTCCGTGAACATGTCGCGACGGCACCTAGTCCCTACGACTAGGTAAGCCTAACAATGCGGAAGATAAACCATAATTGCGGAAGAAAGTAAAATAAAACTGAACTGGTAAAATAAACGGTGTTTAAGGTGCCGCTCGACACATACCACAACAATTCTCGAAGCTAACAAAACTCCCAAAACCCGGAAACTCACAAATCACAAGCTAAGGGATACACAAGAGGCTCTGACTCAACAATTTCTATACAAAGGAGAAAATACTGAAGGAGCTATACTTATTACAGAAAACTGGAAAGGGACTCCTCGGTCTGCGGACGTAGCACATATACCTCGAAGTCTCTACCGATACGCCACCTTCCAAGGCTGACAGAACTGAGTGGGGGTACCTGTATATGCACAACAAAAATGTGCAGAAGAGTACCATGAGCACACCATGGCGGTGCCCAGTAAGTATCAAGACTAACCTCGGTGGAGTAGTGACGAGGAACAGTCAAGACACCTACCGGTCAAATCAACAGTATAATCATAGGAATAATGGAAACAATATATAAATGTGTAAAGACTGCATGAATGACCAAGAATGCTACAATTCAAAATAAGGGAAAAAGTGCAACAAGTAATGACGAGAATATAATAAATGATGATACGACCTGATGGCAGAGTCACAATCCGAATCCTAAGGTCATAACACAACAAGGGGAAAACAAGTCAAATACTCATATCCTACAATGATGTTCACATAAGGTCTTATTCAACCCGTTCAACAATTTTACCAAGTTTCGGACAAACCATAACTCACGAGAACCCAGCATCTGAAATCTAACACTTGGCATCCTGTGCCCCATCAATCTTACGGTCATGCTGACAACTCACTGGCTAACTAGGGCCACTCTAACGTATAAAAT